GAGTTACCGGCTCCAACGATAGTCACAGATAGTGTCAACCCTTGGCTGCGGGTGCGAAAGCGCGCGACGATGGGGGGACGATGACGAGTCAGCGGTCCAAACTCTCAAAAACTCTTGGTCGTAGAAGAGGAAAAAAATCCGTCCGAAATGCAAGTCGTTGCGCGAATGAGCGCGTCCGAATCACCGGCTACGTGTTTTCTTACAGGAGTTTGGCGCGCGACTGTGCTACTGGGGCCAACCCCGGCCGCCATCAACCCTCTTATGGCTCTGTGTCCCTACGCTGCTCCTCCGATCCCTCCACGTCGTCCTCGTTCCGTCTTCGTTTTGCATCCTTGCGCGCTCGTTCTCTCCCTCTCTCTCTCTCTATCTCTCTCTCTCTCTCTCCCCTATTTCGCGCCGCTCCACATCGCGCCCCACCACCTTCATCCCCCACTAAAACGTCGAGCGTGACAATCCTTCTCTATTTTCCTTACACCCTTCGGCATACTTCCTTTTTTCGCCCACGGTGCCGTCCTCTTCTCTCTCTCTCCTTTCTTCGGGTCTCTGATTTTCCTTCTTTTTTTTCCTCGCAGTCTCTCTGTTCCGTCTCTGTCGTTCTCTCTGCCTATACCCCTTCTCCTAGTTTCTCGTCTCGTTTTATCCTTCAGCCTCGTAGAGCTTCATTACGACACCTTTTCCCCCGTGAGCAGTTTCATCCCCTTCGTCGCGACCGTCTCGCTTCGACGCCTTTGACCACTCAGGGGGTTATCCCGCCGGGTCTCTGCTTTCTCTCGTTTCTTCAGCACTACCCCTCTCTTTTCTCTCTCTCTCTCTCCGTTTTCCCTCCGTTTGCCCATCCGTCATCCATCCCTGTCTCGCTCGTGACGATGCAACCCCTTTCTGTCCACCCCGTGCGCGGAATCACCACCGACATGGACCGACGCTTAGCGCCGGCGCGCGCGCCACGATTCAAAACTGCGGTTAGAAGGGGTCGTCGGAGATAAGGATGCGTCCTAAATATAGCGACGTGGTGCTTAAGATACCCTCCCTCCGCCACCTAGTTCCCTCCGAGATCCTTACGAACGCCTCTCTTAGTCGCGCTCAGAATTTCACGATTTCTTTCGCTGCCATAATGGTCGCGTACTCGCTCTCTTCTGTCTGTCGGAGATGAAAGGAGATTGATATACACTCCTAGAAAATCTTTCCCGACAACAAACCGCAAGTAGACTTTGTGGAATCTCTTGATTATACAATGCTCTTTTTTTCCGGAGAAAGCAATCATTGAAATTGATTCAATTCCCCGCGACGAATTTAATTATTATATAATTTTGATTGAGAATATAGAAATTATGAAAATTATAACTATATCAATCAAACATACACAGTTCGATTATGCAGAAATTTATTTCTCTGTATTTATCGAAAAAGAGCTCATTAAAATCACATCGTTCCGAATCTTTTGAACCGAAACGCGCGGAACGTCGCTTTCGATCGCTCATCGAGGTCGATCGGAGAGAACAATATCTGTCTGTCAGCGTTACAGTTAATAAGAAACGCATATACGAGGCAACGTACGGGAGCAACGGGAATGAAGTATCAGCGTGCGCGCCGCGTCGCTGTCCTAGCTTGCGTATAAATAAGGACAGGCTAAGCCCCGTTCTGGCCTGTAATTACGACGGAACTAAGCCGGGTATTCCGTGGATCGGTGATCCTTCGTGCCTGGCGCGACGCCGAGAATCTCCGCCCGGCCGAAACCAATTTGGAATTAATGTAACGTCCTGCGGAATTAACGTCCTGCCGAACGGAAACGGTCTCTTGACGCGCGCGAAAAAATTCATAAGAGTGATCGCATCCGCAAAAATCGAGACTCGTAGCTTTTGTTTTACGCCGACGTGGATCGTGTCTGGATCTAGAACTTACTTGTTTTTTTTTTTTTTTTTTTTATTATAATGAATTTTTATATATGATTTTTTCAAGTGCTCCATTATTTTTTTAGAAACTTTTTCTCTCTAACGCATAAAATAATATGCGACTTTATAATCCTTATAGATTATGTGTACATTAAATAATTGATATGGATTTAAATTGACTTGCTTTCTCATTTTATTTTGAATATACATATATCGTATCGATATTTTAATGAAACAACATAGGACTCAAATTACAATTGCAATGATATTATTACACGTCAGCTGCTTTATTTTGGGCAACATATCTACTGATCATAGCCGATGACTTTTTTTAGTAAAAATATATACTTGGAATAAATTGTATTGTATACCTACTGCTAACAAATGTGAATCACGTCATTGACCCGCTTTATTGCACAGATTTGTATACACGAGCAGCACGAGATACATGCGGATTATTACCGTGGGATTAGGTTCTGTACGGGGTACATTAAATGAAAGGCGACACATCGTGGAAGTATAAGTATGCTGGTGGGTTATACTAACGTCTGACATTTATGTTCTGATCCGTTTTCTCGTATTTCTCGATCCGTCTAAAACACGTCGCGTATTACAAAAGTAATATAAACTAACGTGTAATCGACGATACTCTTAATTGTCTTTGCCGAGGCAAGGCGTTCCTTAGAACCGCCAATAAATCACAAATGTCGTCGCTGGTAATATAAATTAAATAATTTTCGTTGGTGAGAGATGATTGATCGTCTTATGAAATTTAATGAGAGGAAATTGTTGAAAATATAAAAGATTCTTTTTAGTAATGTTGCCAGTTATAAGAGATGAAAGAGACGGTATAGATTAACTTACTAAATAATAATCGAGCAAGAAGTGATTCAAGTCGTTGTATCTCCTTGATGTTTGCTGAAAAATTCAATTCTTTTTTATCGAGCACCAAACTCTCTTTCGGGCTTCGCCAATATAATTAAAAATAAATAATTTAAAAATTCAGTTGATGAGAAACATTCTAATGTCTTATAGTAATCGGACTCGCAAAAAGAGCTACGGAATAACGAGAGAAAATTACAAAATGTACTTTAAAATATCGAATAGACATTGCAGAAGGACGCGATCAATTATAATTACAAGTATTTGTAAGTACAGCATTTCCAGACAAAGGATAACGAGAATAGCGCTGTAAATGGATCCAATCTGTTCTTCATTAATTTTCGTCTTGTTAATCATTATCAAAACGAAAGCTCTCGGAAGAACGTAGATTCCCGACCGACCAGCCGGCCACAGTATATTAAAGCGTCGTGAACATCAAACGACCACTGAATTCACCAGATGGTCGAATAAGATGTCACGAATTAAAGCCATATCGCGTTCTAGTACGAAAGGTTCCCTCCGCTACATAGCATTAGACTACTATTGTTTCATTCTCCCATGATACCGAAGCTACATTTTAGATGGTCGTTCATTTAATATCGTTGCATTCGTATTAATTCTCGATTTTAATAAAAATTGAAAAAAATCCTTCTTATTTTCTTATTTATTATTTTTTAAACGAAAAAGCGGAATTTTACAACAGATATCTGATAGTAATATTTGATAGCAATGTATTGAAATTATTTGCAAGTAGTAGGTATATAAATAAAATGATGATAGTTTGTATTAATTTATTATAATATTATCTATTATGTATAATAATGTATAATACTGTTAATATCTTTTTTTTTTTTATTAGAGCGGAGTGTGTGTCGGAAAAGATTATATGCATTTTTTTAATAGCAGAATAATTATATCGAATAACAATAAAGAATGTTATAGTAATAATGAAACTTTGCATGTTTCGCGCAATTTAAACAAAAAAATAAAAATAAAGTGAAACAAATAATTAAATAGACACGCGGATTTCAATTAAAGTCTCGTCCTAAATTCGACATTCGAAGTACTTTCGAAGGACTTTCTCGAAGACGAAGAGTCACAAGCAAATGGGGGAAAGAAGGGTAGCGCAGGATGGTAGAAAGATTTAATTCGCTTTCGATTTGATTCGCCTCGAGGCAAACCATTGTTTCGACTGAACTGCGCGACAAAACGCGCGCAGAACCGACGACCGATGAAAATGAAATTAGGAATGCGAAAAGAGGGAGAGAAAAAAGAAAAGAGAAGAATGATCGAGAGTGAAAGAGAAAGGGAAGCGGAGGAAAAGAGAGGAGATAGTCGGGTGTGTACCAACCCCCTTATCCGATAGACCGACACGTACCTAAACCCTTTCCTCCCCCCGTTGACAGTTTACTCGCGGTTCGCTTGTCATCGGCAAAGATACAAAGATAATTGGTCATTGGGGTATGCCATCGCGCGCGGGGTGAAGCGAGATAGACGAAACCAAGTACTTTGAAGAGGACAGGCACTTTGAGCAGATTTGCTTTGGCCGTTGTTTCGGGCTTGTATTTTAGTTTAGATCAAAAGACTGACGCCACTGACCAATTCAGCCGTATCTAAGCTGTCGCCTCTCCGTTCTACCGTCGGCATCCTTTCTCGTTCTCTCTGTCTCGCCGTTTGTCGTGTGTTCGCGTTGTTATACAACCGGCTCCCTCTCTTTCCCTCTTTCTTTCTCTCTTTCTCACCCCGCGTTCATCGCCTTTGTCTTTTAATGATAGATTCTTTGACAAACTTGTAGTCTACTTGTCTTTAATGAGGATATAACGACAGCTTTCATTACGATAATATTTAAGCATCTGTGCTCGAGTCAAATCAAATTTAATTATGTTATGTTACGTTGATATAAGAATTAGTCAGTCAATTTTGCGCTATCGCGTCGAATAAAGCGGATCTACTTCCGTCTCAATCGTCTTTATATTTTTCTTTCCGCGTCTCCTCTACTTTTTCATATCGTAAGCTTAAATAAGGTTTATTGAAAAAAGTTCGTTACAAGCTCTTTAAAATTATTAGAAGCATTTTCTTCAAACATTGAATATTGAGGTATAATATATTGAATATCGAGAGACGTTGCGATGCGTAACGTTAGATGTTTAGTATAAATACGTCAGAGAAATCATCGTGGAATTTTTCCTGCTCTTTACTTTCTGTGAATTTTATTTTATTATGTTTTAGAAATCTTTCCAACTCGTATACAACGTGAGGAAGGGGAAAAGATGGCGGCAAGATAATTCCGGACAAGCTGGAAGCGATGAAATCGGAGTGGCAGGTGGCATAATGGGCACGTATGGTCCGCATGATTTGCATACCAATGGTGAGTAATATAAATTACACATAATTACCTGGGCGTTCCGAGGGAGGTCCCGCTAATTTTATTCCACCCTATTTCCATTCCGCGATTGCGGCCATAGGCTCGGTGTGAACTTATTTAAATTACGCGAGAACAATTTTAACCATTAGATAAAATTCTGACACGAGTCAGACGGGCACCTCGGTATATATGAAAGCTCTTCTCGATTATCTATCTATATTATATATCTATCCCATATATATCCTATCTGATGGAATCGTTTTTGCGCGCGAAACATTGCGAAACATTCGGAGGATAAAAGAGCGCTCGTAAAACCGGACGGCGCCGTTTTCAGGCGCGAGGTTTATGTATTTCACTTTTCCCAATTAAAAAGTTATATAACCGCGTTGCGTTATTAGAATCGTATCGCGTACAGTATAATTATCAGATACGAATGCGATACTTAGGAATCGGAGGCGATGTATCTCGTTTATTGTTAACCATTTGCCGTCGCTTTTTTTCTCCGACGTCAGACGATACAGGCAATGCCGTCTCGTGGCGTTTAATTTTCCAAGTTTTTCCTCGAAATGGGTCTTGAAAGTTGTTCAGTTTCGCCAGAGCGAAAGGACGGAGGGGAGGGATAAGGGAAGGAAACAGGAGCAAGAGTAGATGAGATGCAGGGGGATGAAGAGGTGAAGGGCGCTAACTTAGGCGCCTCGATCCTTTTTAATGTTTATAGTTTCGAGACGCGCCCAACATGCGCCGTAAACATAGCGGCGGATTGCGCCTCTCGTATAGCGCGGAGATAATTAGAGAGAAATATCGCTTAAAATAAAGTTCAACCGCTGAAAAGCGAGAGAGGCTCGAACCCCTCTTTCTCTTTCTCACTCTCTCTCTCTCTCTCTGTCGTGAGAAATTCGCGATGCTTTCGCGATAGAAACAATCGAAACTTGGCTAATTGTTCGCCAACAAACTCGGCTTAGCGACTGCAGACTTCCTTGTAGATGAAACGTGATAACGGATATCTTTGTGGATTTTAGATTTGCGTATAAGCAAATTTCGAAATATCAGTAGTAAAACATTAGAAAAACGATGTAATTTAGATATTTATATCGTCACGAAAGAGACTTAATAATAATATTATTATTCAAGATATATTTGTTCTCTTGTATAATTTTTCTTATTCTCGACCAATTTCTTAAAGTCTCTAATGTTCGATAAAATTGTAGTTATTATTACAGTCGTCCCTGTGTTTGGTGCCAAAAATTATGAGTATGGTTACTTACTTTTAGATTATTTACGACAGAAAAAAATTTATTTGTTAATAAACAAGGCCCGGAAGAGTTCCGTTTAACAATATATTTATATATATGCGCACAAATTTCTGCGTAGACGTCTAAATACTCGTTTAACACTTTCCCTGCATGCAAAAAATCCAGGCAAAGGAAAGGATCCAAAAAACAAGAGATATATATGTATGACAAAAGATATACATTAAATGCGAAAATCAATAAAAGTCTCGACAGCAATTGACGTGGCGCAAATATGGGCCGCATTATAAGTCTGGTCAAATCCATTTAACTTTATCATGAATACCACGCCATTTATATATCAGACGCAAGGATGGCTCTGATATGTATCTTTCCAATTCTTTTAGATAAGGCTGTAGTGTGGCAAATTTGCATGGTGCTAGCAAGTGTCGTGGCACCGGCAAGGCAATTTCTACCAGGGATGTCAAACAATTAATTTGAATTCTTTCGGCGTCAAATTCGTCGAATCGCGATATATCTTTTCTGAATTTTTCCAGAAGACAAAAAAAATGGTCTTATTATTTTTGCACGATAAATCGATCGGCGACATATCCTTATCGGTAGTATGTCTCTGGTCGACACGCTCGGTAATCGAGCGGAGGTGAAACCGAGCGTCGCTTTATCCCGAAAGTTTCGCAAAGGTTGTTTGGCACGAGGCGGCGCGGCACAAGGGGTGAATCCGGCCGACACTGATTTAGAAGCTATAAGTCAGCACCGACGCGCAATTACCCCCTTTCGCCTGTCAGAGAGCCGGTTCGAGCGCGGCTGCTTTCGCCGCGGGATGCTTACCGTGGGATTCGATCCCACGGGCTTATAGCTTTTGAAAATGGTGAAAAATGGCGAGAACTCCCGTCGCCGTTTGCCGGGCGACCTCGGCTCTCCTCCTCCTGTCTAAATGCAAACGTTATCACGACAATTTCGTTGTCAATCGTTAACCGCGCCTTAACGAGTAATCGATCGCCGATGCGATGCATGCGAAATTCGAGAAAGGAGGATATACTATATCGACGACCGATAGATAGCTGGAGAGAGAGAGAGAGAGAGAGAAAAAAGAAAAATGGAATTTCCCCGGTGCACTAGAAACTCGTCGAGGAACCGAGGAACCAATTTCTGCGAAGCAAAGTTCTATTTTGCTGCGCGCGTCAGTTTTGTTGCAGAGTAATACGACTTTAAGCAGTATATAACGATATTTTAGCGTTATTATTATTGGTGTATAAGTTGGATATTACATTTATACTTGAGTTTTCTAAATTAAAAATTTATTACTTTTTTTTACGTTTGAGCTAAATAAAATTTAAATATTTATTTTATACTAAGGCATAACGCAAGTAACTCACTGCTATTTATATATTTTTTATATTTTTGCTTAAATCATTGGTAATTTACGTAGGAGTGTGCTACACGAGCTGTTAATTTGTCGAATCAGTCAATCAATCAATTTTGGGTTATCACTGTAATGAATAAGCAAATTCATTCTTGCTAATTATCTTCACACTTTTCTCTTGAAATTTTTATATCGCTTCCTAGCGCAGGTTTCTCGCTAAAATGATTAATGACACGTTTCTCTCTTTAAATTTTTATTTAGTTTATTATTAAAAAAATATCGCATATCTTTAAGTATTCTTTCGAATTAAATTTTCAAATTCTCTTGCATAATATTTGATAAAGAAATCAGAAACACGTCATATTCAAAATTGATATGATAATCATTAAACAACTATTGACGATGCGATGCGGCGGGTAGGACGAGCTCATGCTAAATTCGGTCGAATAAGAGCTTGAGGTGAGGCCGTGAACGTCTCCGATGCATAGCGGACAGCCGCGCAAAGTAAAGGCTTTGACCGAGGCTCGATATGTAAATACATTTTGCGGCCTTCTCTGCAATGACGCCGGTAGCCACGTTACCGTCCTGCAGACGCGCTACGTAGTTCCCTATGGATTCTCTGTAACATCCGCATTCCAATACGTAGAGAACTATCTCGCGGAGCCCTAGAAGGATCGAACGGGACAGGAGCCAGGACCGCCACGTTATCCGGCTTTCCTGGCGACTGGATAACGGAAACACTTGCGGTCTGCACTCGCATGACTCGATATTACTATGTAATTCTATTCTACAAAGCTCAGTTTATTTATGACCGACCGGTATTTTACCCAAGTTTATAATAAGCAGGAAATTATCATTATTTCTAATTAGAACACGATATCAGAATTGCAAAGAAAAATTAAGATTCTTTGAGTGTAAATATGTATAATCTATTAAAATATTGGCAAACGCCAATTTTATAAACATTTTATGTATAAATCGTTCTATTGTTTTTTTTTTTTTTTTTTAATATCTCTACAATCTGAGTACAGAGTTCTCTGATTGGTTGGAAAACAATTATTGTTTTTATAGGTTTTATTAAAGTCACATATTGCAACATGACATATGTGAAAAATGTTGCGTTAAATCAAAGATAAATTGAACAAATTAAAGCTATAACATTTACACAAAAATATTTTCTTTAACAAGGATATATAAAATTATGCAATTTTTTGCATAACATAGGTCTATATTGATGTCAGATAGTGTAAATCTATAAAAGACGCACATTGCTTTTAGATTCAATAATTCTTTGATTAATATTTTATATAGTTGATAAATTTGTAAATAAGGAAAGAAATGTAAATTATTACGAATATTATTTTGTAGAGATATTTTACATTTCGAACATCATAAATAATTGATCTCATAGTATTTGCAATATTCGTCTCTCTCAACGTGTACACTTTTAAATATCTGTTAATTACACCACAAGCCACGTCAAGAGTTCCGTATATTTAACAGATGTCACGGGTCCTTGTAACCGCTTGCTATAGAGAAGTAATCACGGGGAAGTTTAATTGGGACTTGGTTCGTAATAAGTTTTCGAAGTATTCGTCGGAATACATGGAAGCCTTCGTGCTTCAAAGTCCCCTCCGATTGCGCGGCCGCTTTTTGAATTCACAATCGATAATTCGGAGCAGCGCAATATCCGTCCTAGAGGCGACCGGGTAATTTGCTCGGTCGTCTCGCAATTCCATTTACACGACGGCTTAACCTAAGGTTAATTTGATAGTAACATTAATCGTCGCGCTAACAACGATCAAGCCAATTAAAGCAGAATTTTAGCAAATCGCGACGTGCAAATAGATAAGGTAGTCTTTATTTAAATGGAATTGTGTTAACAAAATTTTGATTTATCAAGCATCGAGGTAATATTACAAAATGGAGAGAATTAGGTGAATGAGAGAGAAAGAATAGGTTTTAATAAAAATATCGGTTAAGAAAATTATGATTTTAAAATAAACTTCTTAAAAACATCATTGCAGTCGGGTCATTACTTTTACGAGAAGATATTGAGCGATATTTATTACTGTTATTATGCCGCAAGGATAATGAACTAACGCAAGGCCTAGTATTATATAGGATTAAATTGGTCGGAAGAGCGTGAAGAAAGCATTTTTTACGCTATCAGCGCCTTTTTTTCTCGCTTTTTCTTTCATGTTTCTGTCTAATTACTTTGCTTACGTTCGACGAATAAGAGACTCCTTGGTCACGTGTCCTGGCTGTCGCTCGAATTGTTCCGCCGTAAAGATTCCTCTGTGCATCTCTGTGCACGCTTAACAATCGGAGAAACGTGCATCAGCTCGCGCAATCTTAACGCTCACTTTTGCACATAATAGAGAAACGACTCATTGCCTCCATCAGTTGCAGTGCACTATTATTTCGTTAAGATTACACGTTCACCGTAGCGTGAAGAAAGAACATAGAAGTAGAGTATTATCGATTATTAACGATCGGCAATTTCACATTACAAAATCTTCAACTCACAAATAAAACTCACAATTATTTAAATAATTATTAATAAAAAATTATTAATTACGGAAAATATAATTGACTTTAAAGATAAATGTAGAAAAAAGCAGTTCTCAGAGTAAAGATTCTTCACGAGGTTAACATCGATAATTAAAATTAGAATTGACGATCGAAACGTGAAAGTAAGAGCTTGTCAATCTTTTTCACTCCGCAAATTGACCGACTTCTTTCCGCGAGATGGGATTCGAGTGTTGCTCGCTTCCGCGGTTTATCGAGATGTCACCCAGGTCAAAGGATATCGATAGACTGACACTGGTGTGTCGCGTGTAGCCGCCATCGGCACGGCATACTTTTAACAACAATACTACGTGACGCACGAGCGAAACAGAAGAATCGTGCGCTCGGCTGATGTAACGACGTCGGGAGCAACCGTGACGGGCGCGGCCTTCCGGATGCGACCGGATGTTGAACGAAGCCCATTACGACGAGCGGTAATCCTCTGCACGGAATCGCGCCAGTCGCGCAGAGTTCCTCGAATCCGACGATAAATCGCAACAGAAGACGAAATTGTTCGGTAATCGATTAGATAACAATGATACAACAATCATTTATGTTATTTTAAAAGTGCTCTTTGAAAATAATTAGCAGACTTAATTCGAAATTAATATAAATAAGAATCAGATAATATATGTATATAGTTATACAATAATGATATGCATAAAATGTTTTTTTATTTAACAAATTAAAAGAAGCTGAAAAATTTATTTGTCTCTCTGGCTCCGTTTCTGACACACCTGATTGCTCTTACTTTGTTTTGCAAAAAATTTTTCCCTACTTTCCATTTAATTTGCGTTTTATGCGTGGGATGCTTTATCATTTTGACAATTTTATCAAATAACATATGCGAAAAATATCGCAACGCGCCCACCATCCGCCCATTGGGTTAGATGCCTCGAAAATTCGATTGGATTTCATCCAATGCGTGTTACGCACAGAAATTCGTGGACAAACAAGGATATGAAAAGCAAATTTAAAGTTTAATTAGAAATATACAAAATAATCGGGGAAAAAAATAACGCATCGCAGAATATTGCGAATATAACAGCGCTTTCGATCAGATGATAGTTTCCATGGATTATTTTTCATTCATTCATTCATTCATTCATTATTAATGCGCTCGTATACGTTTATGTGGACGTCGCGCTGACAACGCATACCACATCGCGAAACTTTATGACAATAGATCGAACGGACTCGAACAGTCGGCAGGAAGCGCTCTCCTCGTCTGATTTGTGAATGGGTGTGTGTGTACGTGTGCGTGCAACCGTGTGTGTATTTTGCTCTCTGTCGTATATATCGCTCGCAAGTAACGAAGCGGATCGCTCGGTAGCTCCGTATCTCTGACGCGTGTACAAAATATCGCAGAGAGACTCGCCACACCTTCTTACATTTATTGTATTTGTGGAGGCACTTTTCAATTTATTAATTTCGAGCAATTTCATAAAAAAAATCTTATATTTCGCAGATTTTTATCTCGAAATATTATCTGAATATATTTAAAAAAAAGGATTTTTGTAGACCGGATAAAGAGATAGCGAAATAAAAAGAAGCACAATAACGATCGATTCGATTGCTCGCGCACGCAGGGTTCTCTCGATATCGGTTGAATAAGATGATCGAAATATCGAGTGTCGCTTCCGATGAGAGATCCCTTTCAAAAAGTGCACCACAATAACGGTAACGATAATCATCGAGCGAACGAACGGACGAAGCGACCGCGTCTTATTTTGCATTCACGGCGTATTATGCAATAAAGGCGTGCGCGCTCAATAGTTGCACAAGCCATCGAGAGTGAATCGCGAACATTATATAGCGAACCGCGATATGTATCGTGAGAACGTAACGTCACACGAATTTATCGCGTGATCAAAGCTCGCGCGTTAGGAACAGCTGAGAGACAATTATACGAAAAATGATACGTGTATCGATATTCGAGTTTTGTCGCGTGATTATAGTCAGACTCGATTTAATCAGACGAATCAAGTTCAGGTTAGTTGAATTTTTATAATTGGTTATATTAATTTAAAGACATCTCGCGACATGTAGTCGCGATTGGATTCAACAGAAGCCAACAGCTTGCAATCGATATACTTGATCGGTATATATATATATATATATATATATATATATATGTATTGTATACGTGCGCGGATAAAATCGGCTGAAATGAAATTTGCGCAACGTATATGTATGTTATATTTTTATTGTATACACATAGCTGAATTAACAAGGCGAAATTCCGCGAAATTCTTGATTCGAGACCAGCATTCGGCGAGTTAATTCACTTTTCATCCAACACCATCCACTGCATGTTCTATTTTCGGGGCGGGCAGAGCCTATATAAAAAAATCGTTAGGTCCAGATCGGCTATCGGATCGAATTCTCGTCGCGAATCGCGGGGCAAGCTCGGACTTCAATTGAAGTAATTAAAATCCGGGTACGCGCGCGCGGGAATCAGGAAAGTTGGCTATTGTCAGTCGGGAGCGTGCGCCTTGTTAAATTTCTCGGTCGAACGGGATCCTTCGTCCCAAGTGGAGCGAAACGGATGGCCAATGGCCAATGATGACTCTAAACTCCCCCTTCGTTTTTTTTTCTCTCTCTCTCTCGCTCTCTCTTGTCCCCTCGTTCAGTTGTCTGTCGGTACGTTTCCGATTCCCTTTCTGCCTCCTTTTTCAGAGAAGCCCCTCTTTCCCTCGTTTTTCCTTCTTCTCGTAAAGTTCGTGACTCACCGACAGATTTCTCGAAAAGGGGTAGAAAAAAAAGACAATGAGGGTTGTATCTTCCAAGTTCGAAATTTTTCAGCAGCATCCTTGTTAGTATCGGCGATTGGACAGTTACAATTATTATTGTTATGATTATTATATCGAAAAATGTCCTAATCTGTTGATTTACTGTTTTTTATACAAAAAACGTGCTAAAATAATATAACTTCATTTATATATTACATAATCATATTAGCACTTTTTGAATAATAAATTTCATATTCTATTATTTAATTATCTCTTCTAGATTTTTGCATCATTATTACTTAACGATTTTGAATTTCATAATCACTAATATGCAATAAAGATTAACAATGTCGGATCGCACTTGCTTGAATTTTGTTTTTAATTCCGATTGAGAAAATAAATTGATAAAATATTTAAAAAATGAAGTATGTGAGAAATAGGTTAAGAGCATCCAAATATTTAACGAAACGCGCAACGAAAAACGAAACAATGCTTTATGTTTTTATACGCCGGCATATAGGAAAAAAGTTAGGCAAATATTAAAGGCAAACATACAAAGGGAGAGAAAGAGGAAAAGAGAGAAGAGAGAGAGAGAGAGAGAAACCGGATTTGAAGTGACAAATTTATCCCAGTCTGCGTATCTCTCTGCTGAATCTGGACCCTTTTTTTTATTCTCGCCTCATATTGCCTCGACCCGTATTATCGAAGCGAGACCGGCGATTTAAACCATTACTACGATGTTTCGTTGTACTATAATGACTCTTTCGTCGACGTGATATAATTTTGAATGACACTATTCCGCGCGCTAGAGAAACGAGAGAAAAATTATGGCAGAAAAATATACGCGTTGCACAACGAGGAGGATATATTGCGCAAACGAGGCGAGTCTCTCTGCTTTTTTTTCCTCGCCACCGCCGTTACCAGCGGGTCTAAGGCACCGTTTTCTGTCGTAAGCAGACACTGTCAGGACATCCGGCGTCTGTGATACGTTTCCAATATTTCATCGCGGCTCGTTTACGTTTATTTCGCTAGACAACTCGTCGATGCGAAATCGTCGGCTTTAAGTTTCATCCATCTGCTTTTTGTTTCGCGTTGTCATTTTATTATCTTTTTTTTTTCGAAAAATTATTTATTATTTTGACACACATTGTATATTATTTATATTCACAATGATATTCGTTCCATAAAATTGAAATTGATATGTTTTAAATGGATCAAGGAGAATGCTCTTTTCATCTCATCGAGAAAATAAACATATATATGCTTTGCGGATTATTTATCTTATATATATTGATAACAGATTGCTATATATTATTGATGAATGGATGTCATTATTATCATTAATATTATAATTATTATTACGCGCCCGTGTTTAATGAAGTTCGATGCAATGAAACTTGAGTGATCGATAATTAGTGCAGCGAAATGCGAAGCATTAGTGCGCTGCGTTGCCAATGAATTAATTCCTGCCGTGAAATCAGACTTTTAATCCAATCTACACGCGAAATCAGGAATGATGGTCCTGTAACAAACGTTCGCGCCTTTCAACGATCCATATATTTTGATTCGAGAATTACGAGTGAAATCCGAGGGAAAGCAGAAAAAAGCGCGCGACTTGATTTCTATTTGCGTTGCGTCTCGCCCGGCGAAGCCGAAACGCGACGATCATTAGCAGAAAATTAGGTTCCGTAATTGAACGTTTGTCGAAATTTCGCCGGGAATTGTTCGCGATTGAAGCGTCCACGGCGGCTACGGAGGTTAACCGTTCGCCGCATACAGGAAATGGGCGTTCTGCGTCGTGTCATCATGTGGTCGTATCGGTTACACGAATGTATTTGGCGCCAATACACAGGCGTGGTGACAGAATCAACTTGAAGTTGTCGAGCGAGGATTTCTTTTCTCGCGCCGATCCTCCTCGATCATCGATTACGCCATTAAGCGATTCTGTTGGGCGCCGCGAACTTTCAAACTATCGATTTGTTCGACGTCTATTTCCGGTTGCATATGAGTGTTGTTGTGTTTCGCGAGATCGGTGCTTATCGCCCTCAATAGTATATCCGGTAACGAAATCTGAAATATAACGATGAAATTAAAAAAAAAAAAAAAGGATAAAGAATCCATCCCTTAGAGCGTATAATTGAGTAAAGCGAACTTACATTCGAATGTTCGCCGAACCATTTCGCGAAAGCTTTGACGCTCTCCAGATGCGTTATGCCCTCCCAGACCACATCCATCGTCTCTAGATCCGGCATCACGTTTTCGCAGCGCAGCCATCTCTCTCTCACCCGATTTCCGGGCGGTACAAATTGAAGCTTCCAGGGTATCGCGGTGCCAAACGCCATTGTTTTGGCCGGCTTACTCTCAGCTTTAGCATCTCTAATCAGGTGCTTCCTGGTCATGGCAAGCTCGCCTGCATCAGGACATTGTCTCGCTGCGGCGACTCCGTTGGGTACCATTGGCATTTCCTTTATCGACATCTGTCTCAAACAGAGATGCGCAATTAATATAATGAAATACCGAGAGATTTTATTTCCTTATCATTTCACGAGATAACGAAAGCTTTTTGCTAATAATTATTCTGACTTATTTTCAAACATCTAAATAATACGAAAAACGATGCTGCATGCTAAGTGAGCGCGATGAGTTCTAAATACGTTATTGAAATATATAAAATTCAGAATTTATGAAATCTATAGTCGATATTTTTCCGCGGAAGAACAATCACTTTTTTCGCGAGAGACTCATCGCGTTTTATTTGCGAAACGTAAACGCAATTGTAGGTCAACCTCCCAAATATCGCGCTAAAGTTATAATTCAAATCTTGCATATATGTGTAATGTATTGTGCATTTCGCGGCGGAAAGTGCGTGTACGTATCGTTATATCATGCATTGCAATACGATGTTACAGCCGGACTATTTCGCGAGAACTGCGAAATTACGTAGCAATTCGCGTCCGTTCCGCACTTTGTTTCTATCCTACCTCCATCGTTCTACTGGCCTCGGCCGTAAAGTCAATTTCAAACATATCTCCGAGGACTTCCTCGTCGATGACTTTGTTGGTGCCACCTAAATTGCGCAGCCACTCGCAAAAGTCGCGGCATATCCTGTCCGTCATATTTTTGGCTTTCATTTCGAGAGTGGCCTCGGGATCGTAACCTTTGAGGTCGTCCGCCGTCAAAGGACGCCAGGTGACAACCTGCGAAATTAGAAGAATTCGCGAAATACGAACAATGATTTCAGAGCGCGCGAAGGTAATCGTACAATTATATTGTCTCTCTCGTTCTCGTACCTTGCGCAGCGGTTTTTTCAAAAAGAGAGCATAAGGATTTAATCGGGCCTGATCTATTTGATCTGCATCTCGTTTCGTTGAATCTTTGGTCGTCGGAGGATGCACCTGCGAGCGTATAAAAACTTACTTTGAATTCACTTTCAAAAAAGCAGCCTGACAAAATTCTCAGAATTAAATATAATATATTTTTAACTTTATCTTTAATCCGTTTTTATTTCACACGAAAAATATATATGATGTAATAAAAATATAAAATTTTCTGTTAATTTTAATTGGGGATATTATTTTAATAGAGATTTAATTTGAACGAGAAATGCGTAATTAGATCGAGATGTAATATAATATTCAACATTTTTTAAGTCATATAACATTTTTATTAATGAGAAATCGATTTTAAATTCGTTATAAAATGTACCACTAAAATAATTGTATAGAACATCTTGACGTACGTACCACCAAGTCGAAGGGAATCACACCTTCCGCTTCTTCTTCCTCTTCTTCTTCCTGTTCTTCTTCTTCTTCTTCTTTTTCTCCACCTTCTATTTTATAATGCACCTCGGTCTTCACTTTTCTCTTTGGATACCAAATCGGCATGCCCATTAATGGCGCGACGAGATTATAGGAATCGAGTGGCAGGACACGTCTTAGCAAATGGTAATTGCAGGCGGGAGGCTGTTGCGTGGAGAAAATTAGGTCAGACGGGAACTTGTCGGGGCTCGAATAACGTTTCGAGTCCGCCAACAGCTTTGTTAATCTCGCGGTTAATTTAGCGCGCCTCATTAACGCTACTGCGCCGGCGTGCTCGTGTTGTTTTATCAATCGCGACGCGAATTCGCTCGCCAGATCCTCCAACATCCTCGCGAGCGACGCGTCTTTTTTTCGACTCGCTTTCTCGAGAAATTGCGAAATTTCGGCGACCGTCGACAGCGGCAATTCCGCCCGTTTTCCCGAGTCGGAGAAGGCCGATTCTTCCGCGGAATCTATCTCCGCCGAAGAGATTACTTCTCCTCGCCCATCTTCCGCCTCGCCTCGAGAAATCTCGAACGTACCTCTCGCAGAATCCTTCGATAAATCCTCGATGCTTGCGCAACTGTATCCTCTCTTTAGTTCGTCCTTTCGCGCAGATTTTACGATCGACGGTATCACCAGCTGCTGCTCTGACTTAACTTTCAAGAGGGTTCTCGGACTCTTTTTTAAAAGCATATCCTTTTCCTCACCGAGTCTTCTTTCAGGCTTTTCGTCGGTCTGTTTCGACCGCAATTTTTCCGTCGATGTTTTCGAGGCCGCAGGTTTCGCGTCGTCATACTCGTCGTCAGATTTCTCTTTCGTTATCACCGTACTCTCCATGAAAGCGATTCGCGATTCCATGGTAGTCGGTTTTCTGTGTCTCAAGGCTCGTAGAGGTTCCATATTCGGCACGAAAATTGTAGGCAAGTGACAGGGCGCCATATTTTTGTATCGCGACGGATCGTCGTCCAACGCCAACGGAGACGACGTCTCGTCGTCCGAGGTGTGCGAGGACGAAATTTTCGACGGTTCTGACGATACTGACATTGAAATGGAAATGGCCTTCAAGCTCTTTGGACTCTTGGACAGCAAACTTTCGGCGGGTTTTGCTGTTTTAGCCTTAGATTGATTCGATTCGACCTTTGTCGACATCGAGGTGTCTTCTTGTTCCATCGGGTGCGACGAGGATGTCGATTTGTCCGACGCAGTCTCAATTTTGTCCAAATATCTCGGAATTTTTTTTCTTTGGGACATCTTTCGTAATTCCTCGCAAAATTCCGGAAGTTCGTCGGAACTGGACTCGCTGTCGTCTCTCGCTTCAATTTCCGTCAGCGATGTCGTTCGCGAGGAGGCAGCTTTGTCGACTTCGTCCGTCTCCCGCAGGGATTTATGCATGCAGGATAAGCATCTATCGCGGTTCCTGCGTTGAAAGCACGACACCTTTGGTATAGCACTTAAAACGTTCGCCGACCGACTTTCCCTGATTTCGTATCTGCCGAATTTTGTGCTGAAGCCGGACCTCGCCAAGGATTTCGCGGGTATCATCGAGAACCTAGCGGAGCTCGATCCGAAGAGCTTATACCGTATGCCTTCCTTCCCGATATTCGGAGCCCAGGTTTTTCTCAATCTCCTCTGCATTTCGCGAAAGAAAGGAGACTCCGGGCTGCGAGTTCCGGATTCGGGACTTTCGCTCTCGACCGCGTCTGACTTGTCGTCTGTATCTATTATCGATCTATCGGTGGAAGAAGCGCGCGATCTCTTCGACGTCTCCTCCCACAATTCGGGCTTGAAATTTAAATTTTTGTCCAACGTCAAATGCTTGAGAGCTTTGTACGCGCATTGTTTTGAATAATTTAACAATTCCCGTGTTTTATTATCGATTGTTCTCGTAGGTTGCATTTGAATATTAGATATTGCGTCTTGTCATTTTGATTCATCGATCAATTTCTCCCAAGTTTTAGGAATGTTTAAATGTTTCTGTAATTCTGGACATTTTGTTCTCAGTTTATCCGGTGATATTTTAATTCCGCTTTGAGATTTTGGGCACAATGATGCAATTTTTGCCTCCTTTGTAGTCTTTGTCTCTTTTCTTAATTTTTTGGTAAGAGAAAATTCTAAATCTGATATAAAAAAATCAGACTTAAGCTTACGTTGTTTATCCAGTATATCATCTTCTTTAAATTCGATCTTTCCAATTTCACTTGCAGTTAAATCAATAACATCATCCGAATAATTCTCCAATTTCTTTCCTGGCGAAGTAAATTCTTTAATCTTTTTGGCAGTAGTTATTTTGCTTTTAACTTTATCATATTTCTTAGAAAGATTCTGCAACGGCAATTTAATCAATTTCTGTTCCGGTGATATGCTAGCTCTCGGATCGTCTGTCAAATATTTCTCGATATCATCGTCGAAAATTTTCATAGCAAGTTCATGTTTGTGAAAGGGACACGTTTTTCTTGAATAAATTTTTCCGTCCCCCGATCCGTCATATGGCATAATAGAATTTTCGGAGAGAACATTTAGAAACTCTAATTCTTTGTATGAATCTACTTTTTGTATCGTGCGTTTATTTTTAATAGTAATGTGTCGTTCCTTCGCACTTGTCTTAGCAACTGCATCACTTTTGTATATCTTTTTTAATGGCGTGGGAGGAGAAATTTTAACTATCGGTTCTATAGTAGGAATATTCTCATCGTCTTTTTTTGAAGAAATATCTGGCGCTTTAAAGAATTTCGAATCTACGAGAAGTACGTTCTCATCGAAGCCTTGGGAAGTGCAAGGAGTCTTAAAATCTATGATTTCGCAAAGACCTGTGTCAGAATCATGCGAATTAGGAATAATAGGAAGATAGGGCAATTTTGAAAATGAATCGCTTACTCTAATCAATCTTTTTTCTTCATCGTCGCAAAACTTTTTCCAATACGCTTTCGCCTTAGGAATAGGATAATCCCATCTGTAACAAGGTTATGTATTATATTTGATACAAAAGATTATGTAATATTTTCCCCAATATATAATAATAATTTAACAAAGCATATAATGCTTATAGATTTCATTATTAATTATCTTACCGAACTTTTCTGTCAAATATTAATGCAATAAATTATTAAGTGACGTGATTAATGATTAAGTTTATTTAATGCTTGAAAGTTATATTTATAGCAAAAACATATCAGTTTTTATACTCATTTTGTGTGTGTTATTCTGTATTTACTTTCATATATATTTAATTAACATACTTTGTTTCATCGGCAACACGTAGTTTATGCATTGTGTAGTCATGTCTAGACTGCTTTGAACTTCTTGATGGATGAGACATTCTGTAGAATTTTATGGTATTTTTCTCGCCTCTGTGTAATAGATCGATGAGGTTATTTACACTAACAAAATTTTTATATTTAATTAAACCGCACTTTCTGGTGGCATTCTGTGATTGTCGATATGGGCTACTGAAGGTATCCAATTTTATTATCGATCAAACAAATTAGGAGAAATACAATAAAGCATTGTAGATATTATTTCAATAACGAGCTTCTCGATACTAGGAAGAGATGGTGGTACTTCCTCCTGAAGCTTGTATTGATCGAATGTTGGTTGTCGAGTTCTATGTTCTCGACTGACGTTCAACGCGTTCCTCTGGTTCGTTATAGCATCGCTCTTTTCAAAGGTGACTAAAATTGTATCTCTTGTGGATAATACCGAAAGATAAATTGTTATCTTGTTAAGATTCACACATTTCCTAGAATGTCCAAAGTTTATCCCAAAAGATGTCTGTACCATTTAAATATTTTACATTAAAACCTACGTATAAATTTTAATAAATAATACAAAATATATAATTTTATTTTTATTATTTTCTGTGAAGCAAAAAAAAAAGAATAGGATTTGCATTAAATTTCCATTAGTGATATGTACCATCTTCACATTATTTATATTTTGAAAGATATAAATAAGTTAAATGAAAAGTATAAAATAATTATTTTTTGTGGTTTTTTGTAGAAAAAAATACATTTTGAAATCTATAAATATTTTAACTGTAAAAGAGCGAGACATCCTTTCAGGACGAGCACTGTATATAATTATGTAACTTTAGTATCAACTGCCAACCAATAAGCTGCAGCATAAATTACGACAGCCGAAGGAACTTGGAAACTTCCAACGAGCACGCATATGTATCTATTTTGCAATAAATAGAATGCATTGCACTATAAGTTACATATATAATTACGTATACAATTACGCGACGAGGAGTTTATACTAACATTCGCGTTGTGGTATGTCTAAATCTAACGACGGGACAAGAAGTTGCCGTCTTACTTCCTTTATCTCAACTGACGCCAAATTCCATTTTGGTCGAATGACTTGATGCACCTTGTATATTCGACAAAAAGAGAATTTGTTTAAAATAATGATTTGTCACGTATTCTAAATAAAAATTGCTTATTTATTTAGAATAAAAAAATTGATCGTAAAATTCATATAAATAAAACAATATGCTTTAAAAATTTTATCTTTTGCAATATTGTGTTCTATTTTTTTTTTTTTTTAGAATTTTTGCATAGCATAAAAATGAAAGTTATATGCATTATATTTTATATAAATTTAAATGGGATTGAAATTCGTTTTCAAGAGCATTCTATCGTTACAGTATTACAATATTATAATTTTTATTTTGATATATTGGTGTATAATATTATTAAAATATTATCAATCACATTTCCGCGTAAAATTAACGAAACCTTATAAAATTTTATTCCATTTGCGAAATATATGTGTTACACATAGATGGGAACATTTGTGAATTGCAGCGTCGTTGAGAGTAATAGAAATATTTTCGCGGAGTCTGCTAAAACGCGGATTATATTCAGCATCGCCGGCGATTAAACGCGAATCCACTAGATCGGTCGTTCAGTAGTCTGTCGACGATCTCTCAGCGCGTCAGGATCGATGTTTCGAGTCCTCGCTCGCTGAAATCCCGGAGTCTTTGATTCGCGAGAGTATATTGGAGTAGCTGGAATGAGTAATTCGCGGTTCGGCGGAGTTTGACAGTTTGCTAAAAAGCTCTCTGCGTAAGCAAAAGGTGCTTGACAGTCAGGAGAATGCGTGTAGCATATTCTGCGCTGCTCGTGTAGCCGCGTACAACGACGCTCATCGCATGGCACGATCGAACAACTCTGCAGAGAGATATTTTTCGTAATATTAAAATAATCGCAAGCATAGAGACCATATTTTTTCAAGCGTAACATCCTACTCGTTCTCTCTTCACATTCCTTCTTTTTTCTCTTTCTTTCTCACTTTTTTACACTCTTAATTTTTTAATTCTTCTACTGCGATAATATTAAAAAACACTTATCTATAACAATAAATTGAAGGTAACTTAGCCATTATCATAATTAAATTTAATGCAATCACGGAATACAACATAATATTTACGAATATACATATATTTTGCTTCACAAAACAATCCATTTGATTTTGACCGTATAATATATAAAGTATAAGCATCATATAAATGCATAGAAATACATCATCACAAACTCCATTAGTGGACGGTAATGTACGACACGTTTTGTATTTCGAAACGTGCGCGTGTGTTAAATGTGAGAACGTCATCTGACCCAGTCGTGCGGAAACCTCGGTAATATTTGAGTAGCGAATGTCTAAGTAGCATCTCGGATATCAGGCTGTCCGATACTCTGACAGCGGTTCGTCGACAGCGTGTAAAACGAGTCCCGACGTGACAATGATAGCGAGGAACTCACCGGAAAATTACACGTATTTTCCGCATTAGACGAAGGAATAATTGCATTGGTCGGAATGCAAGTTTCGTGTTTCTAGAATATAAATTCTGATTAGTAGTCCTATAATGTCATAAGCTCGTGAAACCGTGCACATTATGGCTACGGCTTACGAGAGGTTTATCGGCGAAACTAGTAAAGTTTGGGAATAAGCTGTTCTAAAAAAATTAATTTCAAAAACTATATTATTTAATTTTCACAAAAAAGTTTCCTCGCTATCCTCAGAACATCTGTAGTTCAACTATTAAGTTCGAACACGTTTATTATAGTTATTTCGAGAGCTTCTCCCTCCATTCGGCTGCATATCTTTTTTCGTCAAGGTGTCCTATTCTATACAAAGTAGCTCGTACAGAACCGAAATACATATTGTAAAATACGAATTGCACGTTGCCGTTTATAGCGCTCACGTTTGCCGGAAGAAATATAATTAGGATGCGCGCGCTCCGAGTAAATTTCACTGGCGCACATATAAAATAAGATACGATCAGCGGCGTTAAACGCGGGCGGGAAAGGAAGACGGGTTTCAGTTTGAAAGGGAGGCGCGCGCGCTGCAGCAATTAATTGCAAAACGGAATTGCCCTTTGTTATGGAGGGGAAAAATCGTGGATAACGTTTTCCGCGCCGCCGCGGACGTTAAAACGCTGGCACGAGCCGCGATGGGATCGGTACGTGAGATTACTTTGGGCTTTCAGTTAACGCACAGCTTTGAAACAAGGTGCCGCGGCTGTTTCCTCGGCTGCAGGCAAACTTTAATTTAACTCGCGCGCATACGTCAGACATATTACGGCCCTTACGCTGCTTGCTCCTAGGCTGAAGCACGATAATCAGAGCCGGCGCCTTCTTCATACAGCTCCCGTCGCCGACGTCTTATAAGATGTCTCGCAGTCGCGGAGTCTGATTAATTTGATATCTCTGTCGATCATTGGGGTGGGTATATTTAAATGTGGACTATTTAGAAATCATTATTTCGCCCCGTTGAAAGTGAAATATTATTTTAAATTTTTATTTATTTTTCGCGAGTGTGAGAGTACAAAATATATATTTATTTAAAAAATGCACTGATTTAAATTATTAATTGAAAGTTTAAAAATTTCCAACTTT